TGGGAGTCTCTTTGGAAACCACTGCAAACAATATTCACTTTAACACTGTTTATTTGTAATTACACTTCATAAACAATATGAAGTGTAATTATACTTACAGCTACATGTTCATGTGGCACATACAAACACGGGTACTGCAGTAGAGGATTGATGATTTGGTTGCTGTGTTCATTTCCACAGCATAGACCTTTCAGCTTCTATTATTAGTGTCACTTTTTAGTAGAGCCAGAGCAGCTCCTACTCACCATGATGTGCAACCTCCAAACAAACAAAGCAGTGAAGCTCTGTGCAAAGAGATTGTCAGTGTACAGAACCACAGACAGGAGTCAGGACAGCTCCAGCAGCATGGACAGGCATTGGGGGGGGGCTTACAGAGTCAGCTGTGCCCACCCTGTATGGTAAGCTACTTGGGTTTTGTCTTTTTTGTTTTTTCATTCGGATTGGGCAGTTTTTTCAAAAATTGCTTTTTCAAACCGACAATTAGTAAAGGTTTTGAGAACAAAATGTGTGCTCTCGACTTTCGACAGTAAAGTTAACCCATAAATATGATTTGGTTCAGTAAGTTGAGAATTTATTGTTCACCATGACAATGTTTACAATCTGGATGCTCTTCAAAATCATTGCTCGTAATTATATTGATTTCAAACTTTTCTTTTGTTTGGGGATTTTGAGATTGTTTTTCCCCCTTAATACTGTAGGAGTGATCACGGGACCACTTTTCAATTTTAAATAAAAAAGATGTTTATTCTGAAAAAATAAACCGTCAAAAACTGGGATGCCCCCCTAACACAATGTGTTCCAAATTATTATACCAATTGGATTTAAGTGTCATAAAGATTAAGTGTTTTTGTTGTGCTATGAAATTTATGGATGGTATAGTGCGTCAGGACTCTTTGAATCGCTATAATTAATTTCAGAGAGCTGGTTGATCAGTTTGTCTGGTGAGCTCAACTAAAGGAAATCTACTTAAGAAGGATGTTCCACATTATTAAGCAGGCCACAGGTTTCAAGCAATATGGGAAAGAGAAAGGATCACTGCTGACAAAAATCATCAGATAGTGTAGTGCTTTAGGACAAGGTATGAAAACATTAGATATCTAATGAAAACTGAAGTGTTACCATACTGTGAAGTGATATGTGGCTGATTCAGAACAATGATGGGTTTGTACAGATAAAGGCATAATGAGGAAGATCTCTGTTAGATAAATTCATGGGATTAAGAGAGCAGCTCATACATTCAGAGTTTCTGAAGGTGTGAAAATGACCTTAGCAAAGTATATGGACTTTCTGCAACTTTTCAGGATATGTATATTGATAATACTTTTGCCTCATTTCAACAAATCTCTGAGAAGTTCGATATCCCACGCCACCAATTTTTTAAATACTTGCAAGTACACAGCTTTGTCCGCTCTACCTATTCAAATTTTCCCAACCTTCCCGGGGATTCACCTTTAGATAGTTTTCTAAAACCTACTGCCAAATTGAAAGGGGCCATATCTTTTATTTAGAATCAAATTACGCTTCTACGCCCTCAATCTCTGAACTCCTTTAAATCACATTGGGAGGAAGACCTTGGACAGGCCATTTCAGAGGATCTCTGGACACAAATTCTGTCATTAGTGCATAAATCATCTATTTGTGCCAGACATAATCTCATTCAATGCAAACTTGTATATGGCACCTATTATACTAAAGCACGGCTAGCCAAGTTTTACACCAATGTTTCTGCTGCCTGTGATAGATGCCAGCGTTCTCCAGCCAATCTGATCCACGCTATTTGGTTTTGTCCTCTGCTTTCCAACTATTGGTCCAAAGTTTTTGCTATCCTGTTGGACATTTTTGACAAGAAATTGCAGCTTGACCCATTGACTGCTTTGTTTGGAGTTGCACCTCCACAGTCCAGCCTGTCCTCCTTTCAGAAATCTTTAGCATTTCTGACCTTTTTGGCAAGGAGAGTGATTATAATAAAATGGAAGTTGCCTCAACCTCCATCATATATCCACTGGCTTCGAGATATGTTGTATTTCATTAAACTTGAGAAAATTCGGTTTACTTTAAGAGGCTCTTCTACGAGAATTTTGGATTTGTGGAGCCCCCTGTTAAGAACCCTTACAAAGATTCATTTCTCTAATGTCCCTGAATGATGAGGTGGTACTTATGTAGCTGATGTTTATCATTTTTACCTATGTCTCTTTTTCTTCTATCTTCCTTCTCTAGTTTGACTGATATACTGACTGTAGTATCCCCTGGCACCAGTATTTTTTATTTATTTTTTTCTTATTTATTTATTTTTTTAATTAGTATTATTAATGTATCTGTTTCTATTTACTCTGATCTGATCCACTTAATGTATTTCATGTCTGTATATATGTGGGTATGTTTGGGTTTGTTCTAGCCCTGTTAGGTTGGTAGGTTAAAGGTACATTGTTAACTGTGTAACTATTATACTGCCTTCACATTGTACCTCACGCTAAAAAGCATAAATAAAGTTTTGAAAAAAAAAAAAAAAGAGTCGTACGCAAAATCATCTTCATGCATTACAACGCACCATCTCATGCTGCAAGGAATACCGCTGTGTCACTGGCTGCTATGGGCATAAAGGGGAGAAACTCAAGGTGTGTCACCATCCTTCTCTGACCTCTGACCCTATTGAGAACCTTTGGAGTTTTCTCAAGCAGAAGATCTGAGGGTGGAATGCAGTTCATATCAAACAGCAGCTCTGGTTAGGGTATTCTGACACCGTGCAAATAAATTCAAACAGAAACTTTCCACAAACTCACAAGTTCAATGGATGCAAAAATTGTGCTGGTGATATCAAACAAGGGGTCATATGTTAACATGTAACTCTGTCCGTTAAGATGTGTTTGATTGAAATAGCTTTTGATTTTAGTACATGTGACCACTTAATGCTGTACATTCAAAGAATGACTGTTTACAGTTCTTTATAATCCATAAAAAGTTTAGAAAATCTGCTGTGGATAATAATTAGGAACAGTGCATTTTGAGTTTTTTAGTTTTTGAAAAAAATACTGTTCTCATGGGGAACTTTGTTCAGTAAAATTTGATTTATACTGTAATAGTTAATAACTTGAAAATTATACTGACCATCATTTGAATTGACCATTTAAGAAAATCTGAGAAAATATCACTTGCATAATAATTTGGAACAAAGTGTGATTTGTTCCTACAGCAAGCCCTAGTTCTGTCTATATCTGCATGTCTCTTCTCCACCTGTATGAATATACCCACCATGCATTTCACCACCATTTGCTCCTGCATGGACACCAGGCAGCAGCTTAAAGAAAGCTGATGTATTCCATGTTATCGGGCCAGTCAATTTAAGGATGCTTATTCACCCGCCCTCCCTCCAAAAAATGACAAATGCAGACATCATAATCAATCAATGAAATCCCCCTCGGAATACCTGGACCAAACTTCAAATTTGGATGTTTGCTGCTAGTATTTGGCATTCATCAACAATGGCTATGAGTCTGTTTGGATTCATAGCCAGAAGTGAGAAAGTGAATTTTACCACAGTGTAAAACTGAGCACTTATGAAGTGACATCATGTACTCTTTGGGTCACTGCATATGAGCTATGTAAATGTAAGCTGTGCAATACTATTCATTGAATGGAAATTAAACTCAGTGCAGCTATAATCACTTGCTGGCAGAGTGGTGTGGGTCATGGGGCAAAGGGCATCTTGTCTTGTTCAGCTTGCAGCCAAATTTGCTGATGATGTTCCAAAATTACTATCACATCACACAACCTATTGATCCTATGAGCTGATCTTCAGATTCAAAATGGTATTGCATTTGGAGTAATAGCTCTAATGCACTCAACAGAAATGCAGCATGCAAGACTTTCAAAATATGATTTTTCTGTGGTTGTCCCATTCCACACCCAAAACCCGCCTCCACCAACCTCCCCCTCAGATGTTGTTTATTGTGATCTCTGTTGTGATTAAATCTTACTTGAGAAGATTTCCCAGGTTAAAAAGAGCCCGGTTATGATGAGGGTTTATCTCCAAGGCTTTCCTGTAGTAACGCTCTGCCTCATCTGGGCTGCCAGTCAGAGTTCCCAGATTGTTCATGGCACTGGCGTGACGGGGATATAACCTGTGAGCCAAGGAGTGGAGTTTTGGACTTAGACTTTTTTAAGAAAAATTGCCTTTATCAGAAAATCCTGAACAAACTTTCCTCAATAAATTTGAAAAAACATTTTGTGGTGCTTCTCTCTGTAGTGTATACAACAATGGCTCATCAACAAAAAGACACAGCTGTAACAAAAGGTGATCACACAACAAGGTTTTATTTTCCCAAACAGTAATTTATTGAAATAAGAAGGAACAGGAGGCAAAAAAAAAAAAAGTTCTTTATCCAACACCCTGCAAAGTTGTGTTCAGACCAGTCAGTAGTGTGTAGGATTCCTGAACAACCACAAGAATATTGCAAAGGTTGTTCAGGGATGTAGAACGCAGGATTGAAAAATTACACAGAAAGATTACTTCTGTAACTAAAGCTCCATTTGCTACCCTGCTGCTACAAAAGCAGCAGAGATGAACAAGGTAGAAAACAAATGACACATAAATGCTTTGAATTCAATCAAACACAGAGCTTCTGTTTTAGCTTTGTACCTTACAATCTAACTTCATGTGGCCTCACATACATGTCAGTTACATTTTTTTATTTTGCAAAGCATGTTCAGGCTCCAAGGAGATCAAAGGCATAGCATAACTTTAGATCACATTTGTCTGATGGATTGCAGTTTGTTAATGGTAATGACAAATCTTCCTCATCCAATAAAGATATTTATGAGGTACCAAAAGGTTCTGTGCTTGGTTTGTTTTTTGTTTTTTTAAATGATGCAGTAATAATCTATTTTTACCTGTCACTTTTTAAAATGAGAATACTTCAATTGCATTCAATTTTCATTTGGGTTCTTCTAGCAGGGGTGTCAAACTCCAGTCCTCGAGGGCCGCTGTCCTGCAGTTTTTTGATGTGCCACAGGTACAAAACACAGGAATGAAATCCTTACTTACCTCCTCCTTGTGTAGATCAGTTAGGGTTAGGTCATTTCTTGCTAATGACCTATTATTCTATTCAGGTGTGGTGCAGCAGAGGCACATCTAAAAGTTGCAGGACACTGGCCCTTGAGGATTGACACCCCTGTTCTACAGCAAGGCACCTGATGACCACATTCACTTGCTTTCAGCAAATAAAGCCAATATTTCATCAAACATTGTCATTAGTAGGACTCTGGAGAACTTGACTGCATTTAGGAGGTGATTCAGCTATTGGATTCAGGTGCGTTGGGCCAGGGAGACGTCCAAGAGTTGCAGGACACCGGCCCTTGAGGACCAGGAGTGCCCACCCCTGAGCTAGAGCGATTTTGACGTGTTTGAAGTGAGACGTTTGACATCTTGCTCTAGATGTGTGTCCAACTTGAAGAGTTGGATGACTTTTGGAGTCGCAAAACGGGTTCAGTCTGAACACAGCATTTCAATATAGATTTAGTGGAAATTTTGTTTAATTAGCCGTGCATGAAAACAATCACTGACAATTGTTATTTGCTGAGGTGTATTTTTGAACAGACTGAGTACAAAAGATTAAACTCATAGTTTACAATTGTACCTACAGCAGGGTTTCCTCCAGTGTATTGTAAGATTGGCGACCTCCCAGTCGGTTTTATTTGAAATAGGTTTTTTGTACAAAATTAACCTCAGACTGCCTGCCTGGTTTCACTGCTGCGCACTCCTCTGCTGTGACGGAATCGCTGCTGAAAGATGAGCTTGTAGTTGATGAATTGAATAGTTGATGAAATGCAGTGCACCAATCACCTCGTTGGCTTGCAACCTGTCGCAGCTGCATCTCTGAAGTTCACCTCAGCATGGTTGGTGCCTGCCACCTGCCACTCAAACTGTACAATTTGTAAGGTATTCTTGCAGAGCAGGTTCACCTGTATCAGCAATTAAATTACACCGTGCAGACTTGTTTTTTTGGAGAATACTTTACCAAGGTAGGGATCAAATTTAAAAGCCACATCGCTTGCTCTGTTGTGCAACCAGGCAGTGTAAATAAAATACAAAAAAATAGTCACATTTTGGACGTGGGCGTTGAGCATGCATTGCAGAGCAAATGATATAACTTTGTAAACAAAGAATTAATGTGTGGCACATGCATTTACATCTCAACACGCTTGCTGAGTATGTATTCGTAATTGGGTAGCATACTGTCTTTTTACTTCCTCAAACTACAGCATATAAAATTTCCTCTTTAAAGGACTAATAAAATGACCAAATGCATTGAAATGGTTGTTTCATACTTGGTTATTCAACTAAAATGTGAAGTACGTTGTGTTTTATTTTGAAACTTTAGCTTTTATTTTGGTAGTATAACCTTGAGATAAAGTAAATTTAACTCCATAGAAACAGAGGAACAACAGTACAAAGGTACAGCAAACATTACATCTGTTGATTTCAGTGTAATTTTAAGCGCCTGGCTGACGTACATTGAAGGCATGTTAGTTTATTTCATTAAAGATGTTTGTTAATTTGTTAAAGATGAATTAAAGTACAGTTAAGTTTAATTGTATTATTGTGAGAAGCAAAACTCCAGTTGCAATGCCTTCAACTTGTTGCCAACCGATTTATATTAAACTTCAGAAGGAGAGACCGTTTTTGCAGCAGGTCTTCATTTAGATTTGTTTCAATTTGTTTAGAATGACAGAAGTCACTAAAGTAAACAGACTGTATACATTTAAGAGCAAAAAGGTTTGATAATTCCATTTAATTTTTCGTTATAGCTTTCACGGTGTGTTCAAACCAAAATCATTCTGAAGATAATAAAGAAGTGTTTATGAACCATCAGTGCGAGTGATAATGCTGTACCTCTACCTCTGCTCTAATCCAGTCAAACTGATCCTAGCTTTTGGGTATGCAGCAGACCTTTAATACATGAGCGCCTACACGAACAGCCTGCTGACAATATGAAGAGTGGAGATAAGAAAAACTTAAGTAATGAATCCCGGCAATGAAAACAAACAAAGCCTTGTTATTACAAACTCTCCAATCACAAAATGGAAAACTTGTGCCACATAAATTTAATCTCCCTGTTTTGTCTCTCCAATCCAGCAAAGCTGTGCAGTACAGTGGCTCCAGTTTGTCATGCAAGATAGGTTAAATGTTGTAAATGGCCCTGAGCAGAATTTATTTAGTGGCTCCTCTTCCTGTTAAGGACATCAGCACCACTAACACAGTCTCAAAATAGATTTAGAAACAGTTTTAGTTTCACTAAATCTCATTAAATCTCCCCCAGTTTAAAAGCTGTTTAATTGCCCGAGCTTAGAAGCAGCTCCGATCAATGTAATTTACTGGTATATATTTTTGAACATAGATCTAACATAAAAATCATCCTCATAGCATCAGATTGTAGCAACAAAGCAAAATATGAAGAATCTTATACTTAAATGTTAAGCAATTTAAAATATTTAGTCCCTGAGAAAAGCATTAAATGAAATTAACAGCAAAGTCATTCTCTGTAAACAAATGTTAAAAGGGTTAGGGTTAGGGTTAGCTCTTTGTTCTGTGTTCAAATGTCCCTTGCAGCTCTAGGGGGCCTTAAGCAGTTGCTGAGTTCATTTATGCTTTAGGATGGCTCTAAATATGACAAGCATTACATAGTGTCTTTAGATTCACTGGCTGATCCACTTGCTTTATCACAATACATTAAACAAAATTCATTTTAAGTGTATTTTTTGTTTGTTGTTTTTAAGACTCTTCAGTTGTATTTATATATTGCCAATAATGTAATATTTTTACATTTCCTGTCAAAATGATTTCATACAAAAACATGGTGGGCCACTGGTGGACCACGTCAGCGCTTCAACCACCAGGCTTAGTGACTTTTCTGTGGGAAACACTTTATGGTAACAACATTCTAACTATGAAGATTGTTTTTCGCACTTTTCCAATTTAACCTTGCCAGCTCCTTAAATTTTTTAATTTAAATGTTAATTTTAAGTATTTTAATATATCTATACTCAAATCATTTAATCTAATTCAACAACATTGTCATTCTCAATGAACAAATGTTAAAATTCCAGTTGTATGGCCTGTGTTAAAATGTTAGCAATCAGCTACTCAGTTCATTTAAGCCTTGCATTGTCTGTAAATGGAACCAGCAATACTTGGTGTTTTAAAGCTTAAAGGTTTGACTGAAAGCTTAAATAGAATATAACAAACATAAAAGGAAAATTGTATTTCTTTGTTGTTTATAAGACACTAATTATTGCCAACAAGGTCTTCCAGTTACATCAGTTTTCTGTCAACAGGCTTCGCAAGTTAGCAATATTAAACTGCTACCTAAAGTAGACTGTGGTTCTCATAGCCAGAGGGAAAATGAGAACCCAGAATATACACTAATGAATGCTGTGAGAAAATCACTCGTTGCTCAGCAGAAATGCATAATTTTACTGAATTGAAAAGCAGGAAATAGAAGAAACAGAAATAGTGAGCATTTCACTCACTATATGGACAAATTGACCAATTTTGTTCTTATTTAGGTAAGCTGTGAAAAGTTCCTAACTAATAACAGTGTTCAAGGATACATGTGATGTGCTACAAGTTTGTGCCATCACACACTATTTTCAGAGCCAACTCAAAAGGTAAATAAAAAATAAAATAAAAATAGTCTAGTACAGTGGACGATAGACCGTACTCAACTCAAACTTTGGCAAAAATGTGGAGTCACTACTCTTATAATCTGTTTACCTTTGGCTTTACAATTGTAATGAAATAATTAATAATAAATAATTGTCACTATGGTAACAAGCTATATAGAAGTTTAAAAAAATGTGCCTTTGCTGAGAGTGTTGCTGAAACTTATTAAAAAGTTCTTTTTCAATAAAAAAAAGAACAATGTTCTTTTAAACTTAGTTTAAAATGAAACTTTTAAAGTTTCGTATAAAAGTTTGATTAATACGAAATAGCCTACATTCCAGCTTAACGGAATAATTCAGTTCACACAGAGTCTCACCTGAGGGCACTGTTGTAATGGTAAATAGCTTCTTCATGTCGAGCATTGTCTTTTAGAAAGTTGGCATAGTTGTAGTGGACTTTGGCATTGTGAGGCAGAGTCTTGAAACCAGAGCTGAAATGGCAGAAGAAAGATCTATTAAAAGAATTGTTCGAATAAAGATTATAATTCTGTGTCTTTTAGTTGAGTATGATGTTTTTGTGAAATAATGCAGCTTTAAACAACGACAATGCTCAACAATGTACTTGTGATCGGTATCCCCGACGGATTTTATGGATGCTTTGCTGCAGAACTTAATTTGCCTGGACAGCCAACCGGACAGCCAGACCGAGGCCATCGAACCCTCCATGTCAAACCCGCAGACAGGGGTACTGCATGTAAACAACCGTTTATTTGCTGTGACTTGAGTTCAAGATGTAATGCTACACTTAGCTATCAAAACAATTGTGTTTAAAAATAATAATAGAAAAACAGACCTGAGGTGGAAGGTTTCTCAAGGTGAGTTTCAGAACTTTTGTTTTTGAACACTGTTATTTTATGATACATAGTATGCCCCTCTCTTTGGGCTGCCATCTTATGGTGGTGGAGGGGTTTGAGTGTCCCAATGATCGTAGGAGCTATGCTGTCTGGGGCTTTATGCCCCTGGTAGAGTCACCCAAGGAAGACAGGTCCAAGGTGAGGGACCAGACAAAGCGCAGCCTGAAGACCCTGATGATGAGAAATAACACTGGACTTGGTGTTCCCTCATCCAGACGGCGGTTACCGGGGCCCCACACTGGAGCCAGTCCGGGAGGGGGGGGTGGATGATGGCAAGCGCCTGGTGGCCGGGCTTTTACCCATGGAGCACGGCCGGGCTCAATCCAAAAAGTATGCATGCGTACCCTCTCCCTTTGGCCCACCATCTGTGAGAGGGGCCAAAGGGGATAGGTGCATGTGTGGTAGGTGGTGGCCAATGGAGGGAGCCCTGGTGGTTCAATCCTCAGTTGCAGAAGCTGGCTCTTGGGACGTGGAATGTCATCCCTCTGGTGGGGAAGGAGCCAGAGCTAGTGTGTGAGGTTGAGAGGTTCTGGCTAGAATTAGTCAGTCTCACCTCGAAGCATGGCTCTGGTTCTGGAATCAGTCTCGTTGAGAAAGGCTGGACATACTTCCACTCTGGAGTTGCCCAGAGTGAGAGGCGTCGGGCAGGAGTGGGCATACTTATTGCTCCCCATCTTGGTGTCTGTACGTTGGGGCTTATCCCGATGAATGAGAAATGTTGTTGGACTTCTGTGCTTGTCACGGACTGTCCATAACGAACACCATGTTCAGGCATAGGAGTGTCCATATGCGCACTTGGCCCCAGGACACCCTCGGTCGCAGCGCGATAATCGATTTTGTCATCGTTTCATCGGATCTGCGGCCGTATGTCTTGGACACTTGGATGAAGAGGGGTGCTGCCCACTGACCACTACCTGGTGGTGAGTTGGCTCCGGTGGAGGATGCCAGTCAGACCTGGCAGGCCCAAATGTGTTGTGAGGGTCTGCTGGGAACATCTGGCGGAATCCCCTGTGAGGTGGAGCTTTAACTCCCATTTCTGGCAAAACTTTGATCACGTTCCAAGGGAGGTGGGGGACATTGATAGCCTCAAGGTTGTCGGTTCCTGTCGTTGTGGCAACCCTCGAACCCACTGGTGGATACCTTCAGTGAGGGATGCTGTCAGGCTGAAGAAGGAGTCCCATCAAGCCTTTTTGGCCTGTGGAACTCAAGAAGCAGCTGATGGGTACCGGCAGGCGAAGCGGCATGCGGCTTGGGTGGTTGCTGAGGTAAAAACTCGGGCGTGGGAGGAGTTTGGAGAGGCCATGGAGAAAGACTTCCCCTTTGAGGTGATTCTGGTCCACCATCCGGTATCTCAGGTCTGCTGCTAACCTCAACTCGGGACAGTTAGCAGAACATTTCGAAGACCTCCTCAATCCCACCAACAAGCCTTCCATTGAGGAAGTTGAGCCTGGGGACTCTGGGTTGGGTTGTCCAATTTCTGGGGATGAGGTCGCCAAGCCAATTAAAAAGCTCCTAGGGGGTAGGGCCTGTGGGGGTGGATGAGATTTGACCAGAGTTCTTTAAGGCTCTGGATGTTGTAGGGTTGTGTTGGCTGATGCGACTCTGCAATATCGCATCGACATCGGGGGCAGTTCCCCGGGATTGACAGATTGGGGTGGTTTTGAGGGTTCACACTCTTAAGCCTCCCTGGCAAGGTCTATTCAGAGGTCCTGGAGAGGAGGGTCCGTCGAATAGTCGAACCTCGGATTCAGGAAGAGCAGTGTGGTTTTTGTCCTGGTTGTGGAACACAGGACCATCTCTACACTCTCAGCAGGGTCCTGGAGGGTGCATGGGAGTTCCCCCAACCCATCTACATGTGTTTTGTGGACTTGGCGAAGGCATTTGATCGTGTCCCTTGTGGTGGGTTCTCCGGAAGTATGGGGCCCTTTGATACGGGCCCAGCCCAGTCATATGGACTGAGCGGTTCACAGCGAAGCGGCCAGGATGAGGATCAATGCCTCCAAATTCGAGGCCATGGTCTTGAGCCAGAAAAGGGTAGAGTGCCTTCTCTGGATCGGGGGCGTGGTGTCCTGCCTCAAGTGGAGGAGTTTAAGTGTCTCGGGATCTTGTTCACGAATGAGGGAAGAAAGGAGAGGAAGATCGACAAGCAGATTGGTACAGCGTGTGCTGTACCAGTCCGTCATGGTGAAGAGAGAGCTGAGCCAAATACGAAGCTCTCGATTTACCGGTCGATCTACGTTCCCACCCTTGGGTCATGACCGAAAGAACGAGCTCTCGGATACAAGCGGCCAAAATTGTTTCCTCCGTAGGGTGGCTGGGCTCTCCCTTAAAGATAGGGTGAGAAGGTCAGTCATCCGGGAGGGACTCAGAGTAGAGCTGCTGCTCCTCCACATCGAGAGGAGCCAGTTGAGGTGGCTCGGGCATCTGGTCAGGATGTCTCCTGGACGCCTCCCTGGTGAGGTGTTTTGGGCACGTCCCACTGGGAGGAGGCCCCGTGTCCTGGGAAAACCCAGGACACGGGACGCTTTTGCCAGTGCAATTCAAGTATAATTTCCTTTTATTGTGTTTGTAATTTACAAATAGCCCTAAAATGTTAGTGCGCACAACACTAGTAATAAAGAACTTTTGTAATTTCCATGTATTTTCTATCACTGGAGGGCTTAGAATCCATACTTTTAAAACAAATTAGTTAGATTACGCACAGTAATCACACTACGCACTGTAGTGTGACTACAGTGGCTTACCGAAATCACTTTGTGATTCTGGTCAGGATTGTAGTATGACTACAGTGACTTGGATTTGAAATAGCAATGCGTTAGATTACTCGTTACTAAAAAAAGTGAAAAAGAATGACTGACGTCAATACAGCCATTTTTGTGTGAAGAAACTGTACCTATTATAAATCACAGAGACGGAGAGACACACTCACCGAAAGAGAGCTTCCCTGGAGAGCCAGACTGTGTTCTGTTGGGCAGTTTTCCAGGAGAAGAACAGGATCAGCAGGAAAATGAAGACTCTGAGGAGTGTGGTTCCCCAGCGGCCTGCAACTGAAAAGAGTCGGCCTAGACCAGCAGCCACAAGGATACAATACCCCATACTGCAGAAGAAAAGGACAAAGGAAACAAGAAGTCAGGTAAGTTTCAGGATAACATTGTTTAACATTGGTTGCTATGATTGAAGATATTAGTCTTCAAATTTTGAAAACTGCTGATTTCACTGAAGACCCTCCAACAGTTCAGGAGGCTTTGCATGTCGATACAACACTTCCAGTAATCCCTGAATTGAGCAATGGTTGCTTTCTGGGATGAGCTGATAATGCTGTGTTTAGTTGGCAATAATTTTAAGGCTTTTTGGCAAATTATCTCTTTCATAAGTTTAGATGTGTCCCTGGTTCAAAGCACCTTAATAAAATTGCTGAATTATCTCTTTGGTGCAGTCAAGTTCTCTAAAGTCCTGCTAATGATCTGAAAATTTGACTTGAGTGTGTTAATTTTACATCTTCATTTATATTCTTTTTAAACAGATCAGGGAAGAGCTTGTTTTTGTACACACTGTTTATATCACAGGTGTCAAACTCCAGTCCTCAAGGGCCACTCTCCTGTAGTTTTTAGATGTGCCACATAAGACTGGAATGAAATGGCTTCATTACCTCCTCCTTGTGTAGATCAGTTCTCCAGAGCCTTAATGGCCTAATTATTCTCTTCAGGTGGTGCAGCAGAGGCACATTTAAAGGTTGCAGGACATCTGCCCTCGAGGACTGGACTTTGAGACCCCTGATTTACTTATATTTGTTTCTGATAGACAATAAAGGACAGTTATAAAAGATATAACACACTCACCTGGGCATGTATAGAACTCTCTCAGCCACAACAAATCCCACTCTGAAGAAAAGATTACTGGCAGGAATGAAGGGAAATACAAGAAAACAAATTCCAACCAACACCTCATTTTTCTCCTGCCTCTATGGATGAAAAAAAGAGGACAAACAGAGAGAGAGAAAAAAAAAATCAACATAACTAGAACAGCACTCAGTTGTAAGGAAAATGTAATAGAGCTTCAAAACCCCATTCAGTCAAGGTCATTTATTTATTAGGTTTATTTGATAGGAACAGACACACATTAATATAGACAAACTGAATAAAACCGGAGTCCCATGCTTGTTTCATGGTCCTTACAGTCTGCACTGTCCCTTTTTGCAGACAGTTTCAATTAAGTCTTTTGCTCAGACGAACACTGAGGTATTTATATTCAAATTCAATTAAATTCAAACATACTTTATTGATTCCAAAGGGAAATTAAATATTCTTGTAAATTCAACCACCTCCAATTCTTCTGCCATGGTGGAAGTATGGTTTGATCTAACCCCGTTTCTCCTGAAATCTACAATCGTCTCCTTTGTTTTGTTCACATTCAAGATGAGATAATCGCTCTCACGCCATGTCACGAAGCAGTCCACCAGCTCTCTCAGCTTCTTGTCCATCTTTGATACATCAGATGACTATGGAGTCAAATGAGAATCTCTGGCGAGGAAAATACTCTGACTTTTGCCAGAAGTCTGGAATATACACAGTGAAAAGGAATGGTGAAAGTACAGTCCAAAGTAATGCTCCTGTGCTGCTGACTATCTGGTTAGACACACAGACCTTCAGCCTCAAAAACTATGCTCCGTTTGTCAGGTTGTCCTTGTTCCAGGTGATTGCTGAGGCCTCCTCTAGTGTCTTTCACCTGAGTCTCTCCAGGAGCTTCACGATGAGAGATGTCAGGACAACAGGTCTATAGTCAATGACTGATAGGGGAGTTTTCTTTGTAATTGGAACAATACAAGATATCTCCCACATCAGTGAAACTTGGTGGATACCTGGCATATCAACAAATTTGTGGTGGATTTGGCCACTCACTGGTGGAATGAAATTGATCTTGGAGAAGTTGCTAGTTCCGGCCCGGTGGAATTGACCACACTAATTTGGAAGTTTGGAATTAACAGAGATATACTGGTTGAGATTCTAAATTTTAAGTCTGCTCAGTCTAAAGAAAACTTGTTTATTCTGAATCTGGCTCTTCAAGGAGTTACTCTTGTAATACCACCTTTATCTGAGACTGTTTTGGGAGAACAGACCGCAACAAGACACAGACTAATCTGAAAACACGTCATAGCTACAGACAAACTCCCTCACCTCACTATTTTTGCTGGTGTTCTGTTTATCTGGTCTGCTCATAAATTCGTCCTACCTTGTAGTAATGTGCATGCACACATAGATGCTATGTCACATACTCAGCAGATTTCTTACAGATACATCCTACCTGTGGAAGTATTGTTTCATGTGTTTTATTTCATCGACGATTACGGTAAGTTTGATTTAATTTATTCTGTGCCTGACTTTCATTAAGCTAATGAAAGTCAGGCTTCATTACTTCATGTTTCTGCTTTACATGACAGGAAGCTTGTAAATGGCTTCAGTTTTCTTTCTGCAGAGTCATTACTACTATAAGCAAGTCATTGTTTGGCAGTTGATCAGGACTAAATACTGTTTTGTGGGCTATTTTGTCCATATATTCAAAAAATATTTTAGTTTAATTACACTCTTTTTTTATTATTAAACTTTGCTAAATAGAATACTATGTGGGATTGAAGCTGCGTAATAGCAGTATAATATTCGTGTATATTAATCATATCCCATCATTTTAGTGACCTGCGCAGTTCGATGGACACATTGTGACTGTACTGCATCTGATGACAGATATCCATTGTATTAATACACAAAAAACATCAGTGGTGATCTGTGTTTAATTTAATTCCAATAAAAATGTGTTTCCCCTGTCTGATACTGTTTTATTCTTACAAACACCTCTGTATTTAGAATACTTTTTAAAAGGAATACTAGTAAAAAGATTAGTGCATAGATTTATAGCTTTTCATTTTAAAGAGGTAGAATATTCATTTAAAGGAAAGTGATCTTCTTGTGGTTTTGTCATATGTATAAATTGTTCCAATGCTAAGCTAAGCTAAGTATAACTCCTAAGCTTCTACTTCAGTCCCGTCACTCCAATAATGTTATCCAGTATGTTTAACATTAACAACCCGCTACAGTTTCCTATTAAAAACATGAGGGTAGCAGTTTTAGCTATCTATTCATGCTGCAGTAGGATAATTTGATGAGGTAGCACTGATAGAACACTGGCTCGTTCTATCAGGCTCGTTATATTTTTTTGAATGTTGCTATTTGTGCTCGTTTCTCCTGATGCGTCGTTTCTTGCCCTGACTTTCTGTCAAGTTTATTGTTACATTTAGAAATTGTGAAGTACTCATTACTTTAGGGCCTAGACAAATTGCAGTTGGGAATGAGTAGTGTAAAGTAACAAGAAAGTTGGACTAAGGCACCTCTTGTCAACAACTTGTTACAATCTGGCTCTTACCTTTAGTGAGAAGAGGCAGTGCAAGCAGAGAGCAATCATCACTGAAGCAAGCAGTATGGTGGCCACGTTGCGGACATCACCCACAGATTCCACAAGGGGAATGCTGCCCACCTGCCAGTCATAGCACAGCACAATGGGAGCCAGCAGCAGCCAGGCATTAAAGGACAGCAGGTATGAGTAGGTGAGAAACCTGCCGGTAGAGGACATGGCGTTAATTATTTGGTGAGGACACACAGCTATGAGACAAAAGAGATGTGTAAGAAGAAATGGAAAAAAGTTTATTACCCAACTACTCAACAATTCAAATCAATTAATATATGAACTGGAGATTTAATTTACAATTAGATTCCCCTGGTTAAATACAGTTAGGGCCAGAAATATTTGGACAGTGACACAAGTTTTGTCATTTTAGCTGTTGACAAAAATATGTTCAGAAATACAATTTATATATAATATGGGCTGAAAGTGCACACTCCCAGCTGCAATATGAGAGTTTCCACATCCAAATCGGAGAAAGGTTTAGGAATCATAGCTCTGTAATGCAGAGCCTCCTCTTTTTCAAGGGACCAAAAGTAATTGGACAATGGACTCCAAAGGCTGCAAGTAACTCAAAAGGCCTTTCCCTCGTTAACCTGTAATCAAGTAAGTAGTTAAAAGGTCTGGGGTTGTTTCCAGGTGTGTGGTTTTGCATTTGGAAGCTGTTACTGTGACCAGACAACATGCGGTCAAAGGAGCTCTCAATTGACGTGAAGCAGAACATCCTGAGGCTGAAAAAAAGAAAAAATCCATCAGAGAGATAGCAGACATGCTTGGAGTAGCAAAATCAACAGTCTGGTACATTCTGAGGAAAAAGGAATTGACTGGTGAGCTTGGGAACTCAAAAAGGCCTGGGCGTCCACGGAAGACAACGGTGGTGGATGATCGCCGCATACTTTCCTTTGGTGAAGAAGAACCCGTTCACAACATCAACTGAGGTCCAGAACACTCTCAGAGAAGTAGGTGTATCTGTCTCTAAGTCAACAGTAAAGAGAAGACTCCATGAAAGCAAATACAAAGGGTTCACATGTAGATGCAAACCATTCATCAATTCCAAAAATAGACAGGCCAGAGTTAAATTTGCCCAAAAACACCTCAAGAAGCCAGCCCAGTTCTGGAAAAGTATTCTATGGACAGATGAGACAAAGATCAACCTGTACCAGAATGATGGGAAGAAAAAAGTTTGGAGAAGAAAGGGAACGGCACATGATCCAAGGCACACCACATCCTCTGTAAAACATGGTGGAGGCAACGTGATGGCATGGGCATGCATGGCTTTCAATGGCACTGGGTCACTTGTGTTTATTGATGACATAACAGCAGACAAGAGTAGCCGGATGAATTCTGAAGTGTACCGGGATATACTGTCAGCCCAGATTCAGCCAAATGCTGCAAAGTTGATCGGACGGCGCTTCACAGTACAGATGGATAATGACCCCAAGCATACAGCCAAAGCTACCCAGGAGTTCATGAGAGCAAAAAGGTGGAATATTCTGCAATGGCCAAGTCAATCACCAGATCTCAACCCAATTGAGCATGCATTTCACTTGCTCAAATCCAGACTTCAGACGGAAAGACCCACTAACAAGCAAGACCTGAAGGCTGCGGCTGTAAAGGCCTGACAAAGCATTAAGAAGGAGGAAACCCAGCGTTTGGTGATGTCCATGGGTTCCAGACTTAAGGCAGTGATTGCCTCCAAAGGATTCGCAACAAAATATTGAGAAAAAACTTTTTTGTTTGGGTTATGTTTATATGTCCAATTACTTTTGAGCTCCTAAAATGTGGAGTGTTTGTAAACAAATGTGTACAATTCCTACATTTTCTATCACATATTTTTGTTCAACCCTTTAAATTAAACGTTACAATCTGCACTTGAATTCTGTTATAGAGGTTTCATTTCAAATCCAATGCGGTGGCATGCAGAGCGCAACTCACAAATATTGTGTTACTGTCCAAATATTTCTGGCCCTAACTGTACATCTACTCACATAAACTAATTTGAATCAGAATCAAAATTCATTCTAATGTCACTGTGCAAGAAAAACAAAAGTAACTCTCAAAGGCAAGTCAAATAAATAAATAAGTATATTTCAATAAAAATAAAACATATAGCAGAAACACACAAACAACTCAGATGTTATGAAAAAATAAATAATTTTTTTGATGGATTTGCTCTGATCAGGGTAACAACAGTTCTTGGGTAGAAACTGTTTTTAATCTGTTTGTCCTTGACTTTATTGCTCTGAAACAGCTCCCTGAGGGCAGGAGTTTGAAGAGGAGGTGTCTAGGCTGTGAGGGGTCCTTGATGATACTGCAGCCTCTCTGGAGGGAGCGGGTCCTGTACATCTCCTCCAGAGATGAAAGAGGACAGCCAATCAGTCTCTGGGCGGTGTGTAAGACCCTTACACACCGCTGCTACCTCTGGAGCTGCTACCTCTCTGCCGCAGTGCAGCTAGAGAATCATGGTGAGATGCCGTGACTCAACACCGACTCCATAGACCAATAGAAGGTCACCAAGAGCTCAGCTCTTAGGTGGGTCTTCCTCCAAATCCTCATGTTGTAGGTGCCCAGAACCTGAAATTTGGCACCATGTCCACCCTCTCCCGATTTATAATGATGGATTGAATGTCTGGTTTACACCTCCTAAAGTTGACAATCGGTTCCTTCAACTTTCGATCAATACAATTTATGTGGTCTACCACTTTGTGGCTGAGTTTCTGTCGTTCCCAAACACTTCCATCTTCTCATAATACAGCTGACAATTGACTGTGGAATATTTATGAATGAGGAAATTTCACAACTGGATTTGTTGCACAGGTAGCATCCTATCACAGATCCACCCTGGAATTCATTGAGCTCCTGAGAGCTACCCATTCTTTCAGAAAGTTTTGTAAAAACAGTCTGAACGCACACATGCTGAGGGGTGGGGGCTGCACGGTGGTAGAGGGACCAGTTGCTCTGTCTGTTTTAGATAAACAGCCATGTTTTTTAAGGGGTCATGCATTTTATAAAACCAAGTGAATTAAAAAGAAAAAGTCATCTGAATACAGTCAAGCTATTTTATTATAGTTTGTGAGAGTGTGGGCTAAAACCTGGTAAGCAGATGAGGTGAAAAGGAGGCAGGGTTGTCCTGTTCTGAAAAAAGAGGCATGGATCCTCCCATGAGCCATAGCCGAACTGACATTATCATCACCACCTGAAGGACAGACAGATTGCATTTTAAGAACAATCCCAAGGTCTGGGATATAATACATACAATATAGCGATGTGCATTAAAAAAAGACTAAAAGCAATAGTCAGGGGCGTATCTACTAGGAGGCAGAGAGTGGCAGTTGCCACCCTAGCTGAGAGCCTTACCACTCCTGTTGCCACACCAGCTGGCGACGATAAATTCAATGAAAAGTAATGGCAAATCGAATATTAAGCACACAAAACTCTTTTTTTCAGATAACATTGAATGCAACACAATGTAACCTGACACCTACTGCTAAGTAGCGGGAACTGCAAGAGAAGGACAGAGCGCGCGGCAACAGCATTGATTGTTGTCCATTGAGTCAGGAATATCGGTGGTCAGGAAAATACCACAATCACGCTAATGTGATACACCGTAAAGTGCGAGATTTGAATCATCACTTAAATTGTAATAAGTGATGATTGACCTTCTCACCCTATCTATACCCTATCTATAGTAAAAAAAAAATTAATAAAATGTTTACGAGTATAATCAAGCTCCGCTCCACTCCCTGACCCAACTTAACCATTTCTTATCAGTGGATAAAAAATACATATAATAGACATTACAATTTTCCCCTACTGTGTAATTGATTTCAGTGTATAGTCAGTCATAGAATTATTCAAAGCTTATGGGAGCTTAAGGTGTATTTGGTCTTCTAAATACATCCATATTGAATTACCTTATTTTCTAGACTATAATTCGCACCAGCTATAAAATGCATAAGAAGAAAACATAAATATAAAAGTTGCATCGAAGTATAAGTCGCATTTTTGAGGGAAATTTATTTGATAAAATCCAACACCAAGAACAGACATGTCATCTTGAAAGGCAATAAAAACAGAATAGAGGCAACAACAGGCTGAATAATTGTACAGTATGCTATCATTACATGACAAACAACGAACTGAGGACGTGCCTGGTATGTTACCATAACATATTAAGAGTTATTCAGACAACTATAGCATAATTAACATGCTAACAAGTTTACCAAACCATCCGTTTCTCTCCAAATCACTAAATCGAATGAAATCATATTTGGTGTCGCTTGTAAACAACTCTTCTAACTTCGAAGGTAGAATAACACTAGCCTAGAGCGCCCTCTTGCGGTTTAGTGTGAAAATAACGTGATATAATATAATGACGTGTTAATTTCCACACATAAGTGCTCGAGTATAAATCGCCCCCCCACTGCCAAGCTATGAAAAAAACTGTGACTTAAATAGTCCAGAATATATGGTATATAACTAATAGAGAGTAAGTGTTTCAGAATTACTACAATTTAGAGTAGTTTGTACCCTTAAAATTTCGCTGCACTTGAGAAATTGGTGTTTCGTTTTATGTAAATCTGTGAGATTTAAATTTATTGTTGAATTGTTTTCATTTGGCCCTTTGATAATGTCACAGCTTGTGGTGATGGTGTTCACTGAGGTGGATGGTATTTGTTTTAGAACAACGACAGGACATAATTGCACAAAGGAATGTTCATTGTATAATGTCATGATTTTGAGAATTTGTAATAAAAAGACATAGTTTGGTTTGCCACCTTATCATGGTTTGAGTGTCGCAGTGATCCAAGGAGCTTTGCTGTCTGGGGCTTTATGCCCTTGGTTCGGTCACCTAAGGCAGACAGGTCCTGGCTGAGGAACCAGACTAAGCGCAGCCTGAAGACTCCTCATGAAGAATTCAAACAATGCACTTAGTGTTCCCTCGCCCACCATCTGTAAGAGGGGCCAAAGGTGTCGGATGCAGTGTGTTATGGGTGGTGGCCGAGGGAGCGGTCCGATCCTTGGTTACATAAGCTGGCTCTTGGGACATGGAATGTCATCTCTCTGGTGGGGTAGGAACTGAAGCTGGTGTGTGAGGTTCAGAGGTTCTGGCAAGAAATAGTCGGTCTCACCTCGACGCATGGCTGTTTCTGGAACCAGTCTTCTTGGACATAGGGCCTGCACATACATCCACTCTGGAGTTGCCCACAGTCAGAAGCGCCAGAAAGGATTCTTGTTGCCCACCATCTCAGTACCTGTATGTTGGGGTTTACCCTGGTGTACAAGAGGATAGCCTCCCTCCACCTTCGGGTGGGAGTATGGGTTCTGATTGTTGTTTGTGTTTATGGGCTGAACAGCAATTCAGATTACCTGCCATTCCTGGAGTCCTTGGAGGGGGTACTGGAGAGTGCCCCCCTTGGGGACTCCCTTGTTCTGCTGGGGGACTTGAATGCTCACGTGGGCAATGATCATGAGAACTGGAGGGGAATGGTTGGGAGGAACGCTCCCCCCAATCTGAACTCAAGTGGTGTTCTGTTGTGGACTTCTGAGGTCGTCGCGGATAGTCCATAACGAACACCATGTTCAGGCATAAGGGTGTCCGTGTGTACATGGCACCAGGACATCCTAGGACGCAGTTCGATAATTAACTTAGTGATCGTCTCATCGGATCTGTGGCCATATGTTTTGGACACTCGGGTGAAGAGGAGTGCGGATCTGCCCACTGACCACTAGCTGGTGGTGAGTTGGCTCCGGTGGTGTGGGAGGATGCCGGTCAGAACTGGCAAGCCCAAATGTGTCGTGAGGGTCTGGTGGGAACGTGGGGCGGAATCCCCTGTGAGGTGGAGCTTTAACTCCTATCTCCGGCAGAAGTTTGAACACGTTCCGGGGGAGGTGGGAACATTGAGTCTGAGTGGACCATGTTTCGTACCTCCATTGTAGGGGTGTCTTACCGGAGCTGTGACCGCAAGGTTGTTGATACCTGTCGTGGCGACAACCCTTGAACCCATTGGTGGACACCTTCGGTGAGCGATGCTGCCAGACTGAAGGAGGAGTCATATCGGGCCTTTTTGGCCTGCGAGACTCTGGAAGCAGCTGAAGGGTACCGGCAGGCAAATCGGTGTGTGGCTCAGGTGGTTGCTGAGGCAAAAACTTGGGCATGGGAGAAGTTTGGAGAGGCCATGCAGAAAGACTTCCGTACAGCTTCGGAGTAATTCTGGTCCACCATCTGGCATCTCAGGAAGGGAAAACAGTGCAAAATCAACACTGTTTATGATTGGTACTGCACCGCGGATGGTCTGCTACTAACCTTGACTCAGGACGATGTGTGTTGTCGGGTGGAATACTTTGAAGACCTCCTCAATCCCAACAACATGCCTTCCATTGTGGAAGCTGAGCCTGGACACTCAGGGTCTGCCTTTCCAATCTCTGGGGATATGGTCGCCGAGGTGGTTCAAAAGCTTCTCTGTGGCAGCGTCCCGGGGCTGGATGAGATTCAACCGGAGTTCCTTAAGTCTTTGGATGAGTGGCTGCTGCGACTCTGCAATATCGCATGGACATCGGGGACAATTCCCCTGGATTGGCAAACTGGGGTGGTGGTCCCCCTGTTCAAAAAGAGGGACCAGAGAGTGTGCTCCAATTATAGAGATGTCACATAGTGAAACCTCCCTGGCAAGATCTATTCGGGAGTCCTGGAGAGGAGGGTCCGTCAGATAGTCAAACCTTAGATTCAGGAAGAGTAGCATGGTTTTCCAGATTGGGTGGTGGTGTATTTAAATGAACAGAAGGTGACAGCTCTAGTGTCACCTCAGCTCTTGCTGATGAGTATGTGCTTACCCATAAGTCATCCTTCATTCTTATTGAAAAGCCACATGTTGGCTCTGCGCCACAGTCCCAGATGGTTGAAACCACAGTTCCAAAAAAAGCCATGAATGTTTCTACTGTCACAAACCTGGATATGTCATCGCTGATTCTTTAGCTCAGGGGTGTCAACATCCAGTCCTCGAGGGCCGGTGTCCTGCAACTTTAAGATGTGCCTCTGCTGCACCACACCTGAATATAATAATAGGTCATTAGCAAGGCTCTGGAGAAATCATCTATACAAGGAGGAGGTAATTAAGCCATTTCATTCCTGTGTTTTGTACCTGTGGCACATCAAAAAACTGCAGGACAGTAGCCCTCGAGGACTGGAGTTTGCCCCCCCTTGCTTTAGCTTTAAAACGCAAAACTCACAACAAACTAAAGGTGTTGGTTTTGTGAAACAAGAAGCCTGTAATAAGAGCAGTGGTTGTGGTGACAAATTACGTGATCCCTGTTTTAAGCCATTCATTTGTGATGGCTTGATCTCATTGACAGCAGCTCCCTCTAATTTAAAGCCAGTACACATCCTGAGAGACACTGGAGGTTCCCATTCAATAATTCTCTCAAGTGAGAGAGAACAACTCTGTTCTGAGGGGGAATCAAGATGGGTTATGCTCCAAGACCAGTCCACAGTTTATGTAAAATCAAAACTTGTCACAGGATATTTTCCTGTTGCTGTCTGCCCAGATTTACCCATAGACAGTGTGCCTATGCTAATGGGGAATGACATTGCTGGAGGTTTAGTACTTCCCAGTCTGAAAGTTTTAGACAACCCTTTAAATTAAACCACCCCAGACTCTTCAGACCCTGGGATGTACCCCACCTGTATGGCCACCCATGCACAGGCATGCAAGGACCCTGATATTTCCATTTCTGATTCTGTTTTGATGTCTCCATTTTCTAGAGAGTGATGCACAAACCAAAAGTAACAGCATGACATCACTTCCATATTTGGTGATGCTGGAGGAGCCTGATCCACTCTGGGAGAAATCATCTATCTCTGACCAGACAACATTTGTCATCTGCTCAACAAGCTGATGAAATATTACAAAGATGTTTAAAGATTATGGTAAGTGCTGAACAAGCCAATAAAAAAAGGTGTCTTAAAGCGTCAATGGTCTTCGTCATTTCCAGGAAGCTCAGACTGGTGTAAATTAAACAGTCGTGCCACCCTGACCTGCACTCAAACTTAATGGTGTTTGTGCTCGAATTGCAGTCAGAACTCCACTAAAAGTGGTTGAGCTGAACAATGCTGGTGGTAAAGGAACAAATGATCCATTCTGTTCTAGTCATTCTCTTACTCCTGTCAGTGGTAACACTGTGCCGATAAATGGTTAT